TTCAATCTTGGGTTGGACTACTTGTCCACCTATGATTGGTTTTCGTAACCTTTACTATTAATAAAATATCGTTCCATATAAAAAAAAGTAATTTATTTAGATGGGGTTTCTACTTTCTCGCCACTAGTTCTTATGCTTTATTCATCACTGTCCTTTCATGTGGATCATTGTGTGAAGGATATGGTGATGCAAGATATAAATTCCTGTTATTGTTATACTCGGTATTATCTCATTGAGGGAGATTTTTTTGTGATGCTATTAAGATAGAGAATGCACTTCGCCAACTTACGTTGATTCTTTTGGAGTACTTATGCAATTATAACTCTTCATAGGATAGTTCTTTTTGGTCCGAGAGAATTGATAGAGATCGAAAAGAGATTAGCTCAACATCAAATTGAAGATTAAGGATTTTATTTATTTGTATTATTATTTACTAGGTTGTTTAGTTAGCTAGTATTTATGTAATTAGGATTGTTTTGGATAGAGTTTTATTAGAAGAATAATTTTATTGCATTAGGAGATATAAATAGAGTTTTAGTTTCCCAATGCATGTAAGGGTTTTATTGAGACTTGAGTTATTGAATAATATTTAGAATTGTTCACTCTTCTTCTGATTCTTATCCCCTTCTTTCCTTCTCATCTCCGTTCTTCCGCTCTTTTCATCCTCATAAACTTTCGTCTTTATTTACATTGATTGGTATAGTTTATCAAAGCTATACAATCTACAACAACTACATTCCTCTTCAGCAAATTCCTATTGAAAAGCTTCCTTATCTTTTGGTCTAGACACAACCCTCCGGTACATTCCTCTTCGTACGCAATCTTTTGTCAGACCTTCAATCTCTCTAGCCACTAAACAAGGCATTTTGAAGAGAGACATGAGATATATAGGAATACTAGCCAAAACAGGCTAAATCAATGTTCATCTACCAATGATCATCTAGAAATAAAGCTTTCTTCCACTCATCTGACACCTTACTAACTCTTTTAATAACTGGGTCCCAAAAAGTCTATACATTAGATTGTCCCTAAAGTAGGACTTAAATACTTCAAAGGCCAACTTCTCATTGAACACCCTAACTCCAATGCCAAACTCTCTATCTTCTATTGACTAAAATTTATGATAACCATGATACTCTTTTCCACACTGACTTTTAAACCATAAATCACACCAAACACCTCAACAATTTTATTTAAATTTTCAAGTTTTTCCTCATCCCCTGAAGAAAAGAAAATCGTATTATCTACAAATTGTTAATGTGATACTGATATTCTTTCCCTCCGAATCACAAAACCCTCAACCAAATCACAACTTTTCCGCCATCTTCATTAATCTACTCAATCCATCTGCCACCTAAGTGAACAAAAAAGACGATAAATGATCCCCTTGCGTAAGCCACCTGGATGCTTGAAACTTACCCCTTGGTCTCCTGTTCAAGATAACTAAGAAATTCATAGACTCCAAACTAATCTTCATTCATTTTTTCCATCTCTCTCCAAATTCTATTGCCTCCAACACAAACTCCAAAAAGTCCCAATTGACATGGTCATATGCGTTCTCAAAATCAATTTTCAACACAATATCTTTCTCCCCTCTAACTCTATAGTCCTCCAGCATTGTTTTATGTTTTGTTATTGTAATTTTGTCTATTTTCCTTTTATTGCACGTGTTTGATGTGTGCACACTTATAAAAGTGTCAGTAAAAAATGTACTACAATACAAGTTCTCTTTGCCGCAATGGATATCTCTTTCTCTTTCACTCTCTTTCTCCCTCACTTTCTAATCCATGCCACCTTTACTATCTGTCTCATCTATACATACCTATAAATTCACCTAGAAAATGATTCAAAGGTAATCATTATTTTTATACTTAGCCCTGGTAAATATTCTAATGTCTGTAATGTGGACTCACCAAATGTCTGTCTCAAACGATTAACATATGCAACAAATTTACATGTGGAACTTGCTTAGTCTACTAATTGTATGTGTCCGAACTTATGTTGTGTGAGTTAATTTATTCTTAGAGTGGCCATTGGCCAAATTTCTAGATCATTTAATTTTTAGCATGAGAAGAATTAGACAAGAGTGCTTGATATAGAAAAGCATTTTTAATGGATTCTTGCATTTCTAATCTTCACACTAACATACACTTTGTTCTTTATTCCAAATAAAAGAGTTTTTTGATATCATATTGATAAACTAACATAATATTAATGATGATTATAATTTTAGAAAATAAGTTTACAAATATTTGTTGATTGGATTTTTAATATTTTATAAAGAACTGTGAAAGTATCTGAATTCATGGGGTCATAGACCTTATCAAAATACACTACAGGGAAATGCCCTCTGTTAGCTTTGAAGTAATATTTAATCGCATGGCAAGCATTCTGACTAAATTCCCCATAGTAGTACTCCATAGAAGATAGAAATTGTCTTCTAATGCATTCCAAAATGTATCCAAAAATATTCTGGCTAACGTTGCTTTATGGCTACTGCTATGCTTATACTGCATTCTCCTAAAATATGTTGCTTTTGGTTTTAATATGCTGGAACCAAAAGCTTTTGTTCGGCTCTGGGTTGTCTTGTCAAGCAACTTTTATGAATTAATCTTCTTTATACAATGTGCCTGATGGTTACTTGATAAAGCAAAGCCCTTAATAATTGTACCCAAAGAGAAAAAGGAGAGAGTGGATCAAGTGTATTAATCTTTTGAGACTTTAGGAGATTTTTCTACATCATACTTAAGTGGTATATGGATATCCATAAGCCCCCCTATTTTCAAATTCGAACCATGTGTTAGTTATGCAAATCCTCCATGTATGCAAATCCTCCATGTATGCAAATCAATGTAACCGATACCAACTCCAGGAGGAGTTTCGTCTACAGAATACATGTACTCAACAAGAATGCNCTCCCTATTTTCAAATTCGAACCATGTGTTAGTTATGCAAATCCTCCATGTATGCAAATCAATGTAACTGATACCAACTCCAGGAGGAGTTTCGTCTACAGAATACATGTACTCAACAAGAATGCNGGGAGATGGAACAGCCTGTTGTTGGGACAGGAACTGAGCATACTCCTCTCGTGTAATAGTAACTGACTCAGTGTCTGGTGGAGCTGACTGAGGTATGGAAGCCTCAACAGAGGTGTTATCCTGATAGGAAACCTAATTCGTAGGACTAGAAGGTTTTTCATGTAAATTCCAACAAAAATCAACAGTATGCCCTCTACGACCACAGTGAGTACAGGAACGTGGTCCCCTACGACCCCTACGACCACTCGTACGACCTTCCGTACGACCTCCTTGACCACCACGACCACCTCGATGACCATCACTATGGCTACTAGGAACCACAAGAGCTGAGCGATCAGTGGAAACACAATGATTGAGACCTGAAGTAGACAAAGTAGCACGCTGTATACGAGAGTAAACCTAGTGAGGGAAGACTAGAACCACCCAAAATCTGAGAACGAATAGCCTCATATTCAGGTTTCAAACCTACCAAAAACCTAACAACATTCATGTACTCATGTTGCTTCTGCCAAACTGCTACATCAGTAGTAAACGGATGGTAGGTCTTCATCTCCTCACAAACTCCTCGAACGTGAGAGTTATAATTCTCAATGCTCAGAGTACTCTGTTCCAGTAGAAAATACTCCTTGCACACCACATAAGCTCGGGTAAAATTACCTGTACCCTAATATATAGTGGCCAAGTGATCCCATATCTCTTTGACAATGTCAAGGTAGAGCAGAGTAAAACTAATATTAGGCTTAATGCTATTCAATAGTAAAGAAATAATTTGAGCATCTTCTNGCTGCTTTGCATTAGCTTGACCATCAAACATATACTGTTATTGATGCTATGGCTCCACAGTTGTTGTCTTTTATTCTTTAGCATAATAAAACTTAGAAACACACCTTCTTTTTTGGTCAAGTTTAGATTGTTGCCAAATGGATATGATAAACCATTAACTCATTTTTCCTTTTTTATTTAACATCATGCTCTCTACTAACCCCTGAAGCCAATTGTTCACAATAAATGTTTGACATATCTTATTTTTGCTGTTGAAGTAGACACTTAGCTAACCTTTGTTTGGTTCATTGAAATAAGGCAGCTGTTCATGAGTAGCTTGGCATGTCGAATAGCAATAAATATAGTAGTCAAAGTCTAGCCTGAGAAGAATACATTATGATTTATAAGTTATAACATCCCGTGAGGCACTGGGGTAGCTAGACTGCCACTAATGAAGGAGAAAATAATTTTAATTAATTAGTCAATGCTCTAACTTTACTAAATCATCATGGTAGACTATCCTTCAAGAATTTGGTAGAAAGTCCCACCTCAAATGAACATACCTTCTTAGCAATTGACAGCAGATTGGTGCTACTATACTCATTGGTAAAGTACATGAAATTCGCAATGGCTTACTGCAACCTTTATGTGGCAAGATTATGTATCCTAATAACACTATCTTCTTTATTCGCTGCAGGGCTTGGAGAAGTATGTCATGACAAAGTTGTTCTCTAGAACATTTGTTTCTTCTCCAGACGATGCAAAGATTAACCATGAAATTTCAGAAAAAATAAGCTTGTTGCAGAACTTTTTGAGGCCTGAGCATTTGGATATCCTACCAACTTTTCATAACGAAGCTTCATGGCTGGTATGCTTTCAGCTTTTATCAATGCTTGAATAACCAATCCAATACATATTGATGCTATGTCTTTTTTTTCTTTTTTATTGATTCTCGACATACATACCATGCATTTAGGGGAAAGTTTAGGGATTGGCGGGGTGAAGGTTGTAGAAATTGATCAAAAAGAGCGTAGAGAGAAATTATCNTGATTGATTCTCGACATGCATACCATGCATTTAGGGGAAAGTTTAGGGATTGGCGGGGTGAAGGTTGTAGACATTGATCAAAAAGAGCGTAGAGAGAAATTATCATAACGACACAATTAGTCTGTTCAATAACTTATTAACCTAATATTCACAATAAAGATCCTTGTACACAATATAAATGACTAAATTACCCCAACTATTAATAGGCTACAATATTCTAACATTTGCCCTCAAACTCATGATGTGGTAGTAGAGAACATCAAGAGTATGCAAAAAAGAAAACGAAAACACCATAGAGATTTTGTGAAGAAATTTGTCAACTGCATTGAAGTAGGAAGAAAGGGAAGATAAATGGTTTCAAGCTAAAGGTGATGACTCACAAAGTGGCAGTCAATCTCAATATGGTGATAACGCACAAAGTCTCAATATGTTTCGTATGCTCATGGAAAGTCGAGTTGTGAACAATTTGAATAGCATTGGTATTGTCACAACACATTGGGGTAGGAGCAGATAAAGGGATGACCAAATCAACAAGTAGTCATCGTAACCAAACTATCTTAGCTATGGTAGAGGCCATAACACAACAAGAAGCAACAACAGTTTGCTTGTACTCTAGGAAGCACGGATACTTGTCGTATCCGATACGAAACAGATACGGAGATATGACAAAGTTAAAAAATATGGGATACGAGTACGGTAAGGATACGACTATTAAAATAATATAATATATTTTTTAAATAATAATAGAGTTGTAATATAATAAAAAATAAAGCATATATTATAACAATATTAATAATAAGACCTAGCAAATATTATTTTTTTGATTAAAATTGAAATAGATCAAATTGAATATCCGCTATTTTCATCAAAAATCAGTGCATCTATTAACATTCATAGTATATAAGTTATGAAACAAAAAATATATTAAAAAAAGTAAATTTTTAATAGTTAAAAATTATTTTTGTAATAAAACAATTCTTGGCCGTGTCCTGGATGTATTCTTGCCTTGTCTTAGACGTATCTTAACTGTGTCTTGACCGTGTCCGACTGAGTTCACTATTTAGGACACTTCTAGCTGTGTCGGACACATGTCCGATACTGCCACGGCACCTCCTGAGANTTGGCATGTCGAATAGCAATAAATATAGTAGTCAAAGTCTAGCCTGAGAAGAATACATTATGATTTATAAGTTATAACATCCCGTGAGGCACTGGGGTAGCTAGACTGCCACTAATGAAGGAGAAAATAATTTTAATTAATTAGTCAATGCTCTAACTTTACTAAATCATCATGGTAGACTATCCTTCAAGAATTTGGTAGAAAGTCCCACCTCAAATGAACATACCTTCTTAGCAATTGACAGCAGATTGGTGCTACTATACTCATTGGTAAAGTACATGAAATTCGCAATGGCTTACTGCAACCTTTATGTGGCAAGATTATGTATCCTAATAACACTATCTTCTTTATTCGCGGCAGGGCTTGGAGAAGTATGTCATGACAAAGTTGTTCTCTAGAACATTTGTTTCTTCTCCAGACGATGCAAAGATTAACCATGAAATTTCAGAAAAAATAAGCTTGTTGCAGAACTTTTTGAGGCCTGAGCATTTGGATATCCTACCAACTTTTCATAACGAAGCTTCATGGCTGGTATGCTTTCAGCTTTTATCAATGCTTGAATAACCAATCCAATACATATTGATGCTATGTCTTTTTTTTCTTTTTTATTGATTCTCGACATACATACCATGCATTTAGGGGAAAGTTTAGGGATTGGCGGGGTGAAGGTTGTAGAAATTGATCAAAAAGAGCGTAGAGAGAAATTATCATAACGACACAATTAGTCTGTTCAATAACTTATTAACCTAATATTCACAATAAAGATCCTTGTACACAATATAAATGACTAAATTACCCCAACTATTAATAGGCTACAATATTCTAACATTTGCCCTCAAACTCATGATGTGGTAGTAGAGAACATCAAGAGTATGCAAAAAAGAAAACGAAAACACCATAGAGATTTTGTGAAGAAATTTGTCAACTGCATTGAAGTAGGAAGAAAGGGAAGATAAATGGTTTCAAGCTAAAGGTGATGACTCACAAAGTGGCAGTCAATCTCAATATGGTGATAACGCACAAAGTCTCAATATGTTTCGTATGCTCATGGAAAGTCGAGTTGTGAACAATTTGAATAGCATTGGTATTGTCACAACACATTGGGGTAGGAGCAGATAAAGGGATGACCAAATCAACAAGTAGTCATCGTAACCAAACTATCTTAGCTATGGTAGAGGCCATAACACAACAAGAAGCAACAACAGTTTGCTTGTACTCTAGGAAGCACGGATACTTGTCGTATCCGATACGATACAGATACGGAGATATGACAAAGTTAAAAAATATGGGATACGAGTACGGTAAGGATACGACTATTAAAATAATATAATATATTTTTTAAATAATAATAGAGTTGTAATATAATAAAAAATAAAGCATATATTATAACAATATTAATAATAAGACCTAGCAAATATTATTTTTTTGATTAAAATTGAAATAGATCAAATTGAATATCCGCTATTTTCATCAAAAATCAGTGCATCTATTAACATTCATAGTATATAAGTTATGAAACAAAAAATATATTAAAAAAAGTAAATTTTTAATAGTTAAAAATTATTTTTGTAATAAAACAATTCTTGGCCGTGTCCTGGATGTATTCTTGCCTTGTCTTAGACGTATCTTAACTGTGTCTTGACCGTGTCCGACTGAGTTCACTATTTAGGACACTTCTAGCTGTGTCGGACACATGTCCGATACTGCCACGGCACCTCCTGAGAGGTATTCGGGCTTCCTAACTTGTACTTTTTCAAAAAATAAGAAAATCACCAAGAACACAAACAAAAACCAATGATGGATTTGTATAAGAGATTTTGATGTAGAATTCCTCAAAGATACTGAAANTCAAAAAATAAGAAAATCACCAAGAACACAAACAAAAACCAATGATGGATTTGTATAAGAGATTTTGATGTAGAATTCCTCAAAGATACTGAAAAATGTGTAGAATAGCAGCTCGGTGAATAGTGGTAGGTGAGACAATAAACGAAACTGACAACACGAACTGCATAAGAGATACATGAGTGGGAAACTATAAAATAGACCAGACTTTCAACAATAGTGCGGTAGAGGGTGGGATTAGACAAGATAGTACCATTAGAGAATGAATAACGAACATTGAGCTCTAAGAGTCTCCAACGGTCCAATAACTTGATAAATGAGCTCGTTGAATAACATTTAATGTATACTTGGATTGAGGGAAGAGATAACCTTTACGAGATGAAACAACCTCAATCCCTAAGAAATATTAAAATCTACCAAAATCTTTCATCTCAAAATGATACTATAACGGATTTTTCAATAGTTGTATCTAAGTGTCATCACCGGTAATAATTATATCATCAACATAAAGTAAGAGAACAATAGAACATGAGGAAGTAGACCACAAAAATAGAACATAATCATGATCACTAACACAAGGATTCAAGTCAAGTGGTAATAATAGGAATGCAATTAATCAAATGAATTACTATAAGAACTGCTTCCCTCCACAAGAAACTAGTCAGAGGCGCTAGAGTCTATGATCCAAGGACTGCGAGTAGTGGACAATAAACAAGTGAAAACAGTACTTGACTAGGCAAAAGTAGCAGTGGAGNAGAGTCTATGATCCAAGGACTGCGAGTAGTGGACAATAAACAAGTGAAAACAGTACTTGACTAGGCAAAAGTAGCAGTGGAGAGAGATGGAACAGCCTGTTGTTGGGACAGGAACTGAGCATACTCCTCTCGTGTAATAGTAACCGACTCAGTGTCTGGTGGAGCTGACTGAGGTATGGAAGCCTCAACAGAGGTGTTATCCTGATAGGAAACCTAATTCGTAGTACTAGAAGGTTTTTCATGTAAATTCCAACAAAAATCAACAGTATGCCCTCTATGACCACAGTGAGTACAGGAACGTGGTCCCCCACGACCCCTACGACCACTCGTACGACTTTCCGTACGACCTCCTTGACCACCACGACCACCTCGATGACCATCACTATGGCTACTAGGAANGACCACAGTGAGTACAGGAACGTGGTCCCCCACGACCCCTACGACCACTCGTACGACTTTCCGTACGACCTCCTTGACCACCACGACCACCTCGATGACCATCACTATGGCTACTAGGAACCACAAGAGCTGAGCGATCAGTGGAAACACAATGATTGAGACCTGAAGTAGACAAAGTAGCACGCTGTATACGAGAGTAAACCTAGTGAGGGAAGACTAGAACCACCCAAAATCTGAGAACGAATAGCCTCATATTCAGGTTTCAAACCTACCAAAAACCTAACAACATTCATGTACTCATGTTGCTTCTGCCAAACTGCTACATCAGTAGTAAACGGATGGTAGGTCTTCATCTCCTCACAAACTCCTCGAACGTGAGAGTTATAATTCTCAATGCTCAGAGTACTCTGTTCCAGTCGAAAATACTCCTTGCACACCACATAAGCTCGGGTAAAATTACCTGTACCCGAATATATAGTGGCCAAGTGATCTCATAACTCCTTGACAATATCAAGGTAGAGCAGAGTAGAACTAATATTAGGCTTAATGCTATTCAATAGTAAAGAAATAATTTGAGCATCTTCTTGTTCCTACTGATCATACTCAGGAGTGTCTNAACTAATATTAGGCTTAATGCTATTCAATAGTAAAGAAATAATTTGAGCATCTTCTTGTTCCTACTGATCATACTCAGGAGTGTCTTCCTTGGGTTTAGGGTTCACCAAATATTTCTTAAATCCTTTGCCTTAAAAAAAGACTTGAACAGATTGGGACCATAAAGTGTAATTAGTCCCATTGAGTTTGACAGAGGTCATGAGACCATTAATAAGAGTCGGAGGAGGCAAAGATGGAGTAAGGGACCAGGAATCTTGCTTGGGTTCCATAATAGTGCAGCAAATAGCAAACAAGAAGTGAGCCGGAATGCTGAACCAGAGGAAAAGGGACTGTCGGAATGCTGAACCGGACAGCTTAAGGTCGCTGGACTGACGAACCAGAGTAGAAACTAACTGAATCAGGATGAACCGGTGTAGGATGAACCGGTGTAGAAACTAGGTGAACTGGTGTAAAAATTAGGTGAACTGGACTATAGGAGCCTTCTGGACCGCTGAACCGGACTGTAGAACCACATTGAGCCAATGAACCGGAGCAGCAACTGAACTGGACTGGACCATTGAACCGGAGCAAAAGACTGAAGGAACGGTCTGAATTGGAGTAAAACTACCTGAATNTGTAGAACCACATTGAGCCAATGAACCGGAGCAGCAACTGAACTGGACTGGACCACTGAACCGGAGCAAAAGACTGAAGGAACGGTCTGAATTGGAGTAAAACTACCTGAATTGGCTAAGTCTGGATCAAACTAGGGTTGAACCGGGTTTGAGCTAGACTTGGACCGGTTTGGTCTGAAGTTGACTTGACCTGGACGAAGTCTCCAGGGTCTTGGATCCGTTATCCGAAACCTGACCCACTTGGATCTTGTCTTCTTCACTGAGTAGGGTTTCAACAAAACCCTAATTTCTGCACCAAGGTCGACTATACCAGCACCGACTGCTCAACCACGAAGCACATAACTAGATAAGGCCAAGTCGACTACACCAACGTCGACTACACCACCACGAAGCAAGGTGTCACCAAGTCGATTGCCACCACCTCAACAACAATACCTCCACAACACAGTGCCACCAAGTCAACGTCCACCACCACGACAATAGTATCCCCACCACCACGATGGGTTCAATGAATAGTACCAAAATTAGTTTATATATAAATATATATAAACATTTAGATTTAATAATGAGTAGACTATTCAGATCTAATTATATGGCTAGCTCAGCTAGATCTTCATTGAACACTATACCTAATATAGTAAATGAAGAAGAACATGAGTATCAGAAGTCACAGGTAGACTGAAGTGGATGGAACATTCCAAAAGTTTCCCACAGGGAAATCTATAAAACAAGTTGGATCCCAAAAGTATTCAACGAAGAGCTTCAGGTAAAAACAATTGAACAAGTTTATTCCCTCAGTAAGGATGAAGAAACTTGTCAGTTATTTAGTCGAGAAACCCTTAAAAAATATAGGTCTAAAGGATTTAATTTTATACAATTAGGTTTGGTTCAGGTAGCAATTAAACCCTTAATTCAACCAGGAAAAAATGTAGCAACTTTATTAACCTTAAGAGATGCAAGGTTTTTAGATTATCAACCTAGTATCTTAGGATTAATGGAGATTGGTCTTCACAAAGAACCAGTATACTTTAACTGCTTTCCAGACTTCACATTAAGTCTAGAATGCCCAAATACTGGAATGGCTTTAACCCTAGGAATAAAACTCTCAGGAGATATCATTAGGTTAGTAGAAGAAACCAGATCAATAGTATTAATCTATAGGATTTACTATAAATGCATTACCACAAACCTGAATGTACATGCATTAGAGAAAAGTCCTAAAGATAGTACTCTTTTGATCCAACCTAGCACAAACCAATCAAATATCCAAGTCCCGAAGCAAATCCTTTGGAAGGATGTTAAGCTCCTAGAATCTTGGATAGTTGAAAATGAAAAT